CCTGTGACAAATCTAAGAGGTAAAAAAGTGGTATGACTTATGGAAAAATGGAAGCTTTGTTTAAGAATTCAGACCAAGGACAATTACTGACCCCAAAGTGGAGATCAAATAGTCTATAGAGAAAAAAGGTCTGGTAATACAGAAAAGATATCAACAGAAGGTCAGAGTTGTAGCACAGCAGGTTAAGCCCCTGCTTGCAATGCCAGCATCCCATATCAGAGTGCAGGTTCAAGTCTTGACTGCTCCACTTCCTATCCAGCTCCCTGATATTGCACCTGGGAAGGGGCAGAAGATGGCCCAAATGTTTGAGGCCCTGCTACCCACATGGGAGCCACAGATGGAGTTCTTGGCTCCTGTCTTCCACCTGGCCTACCCCTGGATGTTGCAACCATTTGGGTAGTGAACCAGTGAACAGAAGATCTCTCTCTCTCTCTCTCTCTCTCTCTCTCTCTCATTCTTGCTCTCGCTCTCGCTCTCTCTCAACACTTTTTCAAATTTATTAAAAAAAAAGATACCAACAGTTAGCTGGCAGAGAAATGGGCTAGAGGAAAGATGCTTCAGGAAGGGCAGCCCTGAGTATATGTGGAAGAGCAGAAAGTAAGCAGTATTTACCATTTCAGCTTAGGAAAAAGGGGGTATGTAGAGAAGGAGTGGAAGATAAAACTAGAAAACAGTGGTTTGAGGTCATATTGCAAAGACATTTGAAAATACCACAGTCAAGAGATACCCACTGGGAGTGATGTGATCACCTGAGGAAGATTTATCCAGTCTAGGTCTACCACACCATACCTACAAATTCCAAAACCCATAAAGTTATAAAGTCCAGAAATATGGGATTTTCTATCCTGACCATTTATTTGGAAACAATCTGAGATGAATTTACATCATCAAAGTTTGAACTCATAGTGCACATTCAAGTTTCACTGCAGAAATGACAGTGTTTGGTGACAGAATGTTGCCCCAGTCCCTGTTATGGTAATTTTGTGATATATAGTATTTTTGTCATATTACCTTGCTAAAAGTCCAAAAGTTTAAAAAAAAAAACTACATTTTAAAATACATCTAACCACCAATAGTTTTAGCAATTTTTTATTTATATAAGTTGTGCAAATTTCATGTATTTCATATAAACAGAATTAGGAGCATAGTGATACTTCCCACCCTCTCCTCCCTCCTGCGCATGCTCCTACCCTCCATCCTCCTTCCTTTCTTATTCTTTCTTTCAATCTCCAAAGTTTTAATTTTTACAGCAGCATATTTTCAATTTATTTTATAATCATAAGCTTAACTCTCTACTAAGTAAAAAATTCAACAAAAACTACGGAAATAAAAAAAAAGAACACAGTTCCACAACATTAGAGATAAGGGTTGTAAGCAATCATCGATTCTCAACTTGCCAATTTCACTCATAGACATTATGTTTTTGTGCCATTATACTAAGTGAAATAAGCTGGTCCCAAAAAGACAAATATCATATGTTTTCCCTGATCTGTGGTAATCACCAAGAGTTTTAGATGAAGGGTTGTCAATTGTAGCAATGTGTAGGATAGACTAGAAGGGAGAAAGAGGTGAGGAGATCAATGTGAAGACTTCCAGTTGTACTGGCCAGAAAATCATAAGAACCTCACATACAATGTTGGTCATGATGAGTGAATAGAAGACTCTCTGGGAACTAAACTTCACAGCTAACTGAGGGCGTGAGGAAGAAATCAAAGGAAAATCCAAGAGTAATCCTGGGAGCCAAGAAATACTTTCAACAAAAATATCAACCACCAGAAAAATGAGATCATCACTGTTTGTTTTAATTGTGCTGCATTTAGGTTGTTGACAAAATACCGAGGTGGTAATGTGAAGCAGAGAGTGAGAAATACGTGTGGAGAGTTCAGTAGGGAGACCTAAGGTGTCAACTACACAGACCAAAAAACGAAAGCTCTGCAAATGGATGGAATGTTCAAGGAATAAAGAAGTGAAAAAACACCTGTGTGGAACTCTGATAAATCACTAGCTTTCTTATTTGCAATAGCAGGTCTATTACTAAAGATTACCAGAGGCTAATCAGTCCATAATAATGGAGGAACAGTATCATCAGATACCAGAGATGCACCAGGCTGGGATTTACCCAGAAAGGAACATAATTCCTGAGTCTTTCCAAATACCAACTTTGGGTGTCTTGCCAAAATACAAGTTTAGCACTCAAAGGATACACCAGAGCTGATGAGTTCACTTTAAAAAAAATAATCAATACATGTCTTTTAAATGCACAGTTTTTATACTCCTAGACTAGTAGAAATGTCACTTTTTGCAAAATCTGTTACAGCCAGTTCTGACTCAACAGGAGCCACGCAAGCCAAAGTAAACTACAGTTTGTCAGGTTGTTAACTTATTGTGTAAGTGATATCCTTCTTACTAATGTCACTACAAATGCATATCAGTATTTAATGTCTTGCAGCAATGAATACATAATAGGGAAGAGATTGCAATAAGATAAGCAGATGTGAACTGAAAGCCACATCCCTCACCTCTAAAAACAAAGCTGCTGGTAGGATGCATCTTGACAGGTGCAATGGTTAACTTTTAAAGATTTCTTTATTTATAAGGCAGAGTGACAGAGAGAGAGGGAGAGGCAGAGGAAGAGGGATACTCCATTTTGTTGTTTACTTTCCAAATGCCTGCAACAGCCAGCGCTGAGCCAAGCCAAAGCCAGTAGCTCAGAACACCATCTAGGTCTCCTACATGGGTTGGGGGGGACCCAAGCACTTGGGCCATCATTATCCACTTTCCCAGGAGCAAGATCAAACATCTAGATCAAAAACAGAGTAGCCAGGGCTCAATCGCAGGCACTCCAATGTGGGATACAGTTGTCACAATCAATGGCTTAACCTGCTACATCACAACACTCACCCCAATGCTGGTTAATTTTGTATATCAACTTGGAGGGACCAGATATTTATCAACGGGAGGCACTCTGGGAGATCAAAAGGTAACACTGGTTCTGGCGTTGTCATACATGTTGGCAGTGGCTAGCAAGGCAGCAAGGGATGCAGTAATTCCAAATCCTAATAAAAAAACAACACCCATCTCTAATTTCAGCCCTAATCTCCAGGTAGCATTCAAGCCAATCAAACCTCAATTACAATAGTCCCCAGGGCTGCAACAGCAGGTGTGGGCTCTTGGCCATCTCTGAACTTTCAGTGTATCACCCACTTTTTCTTCTCTCTTGTCCCTCTGCCTTTCTGCATTTCTACCCTTGTGAATTTATAACTAATGTCTGTATTTTAATGTTTGCTTATTTATTTATTTGAAAGTCAGAATTACAGAAAGAGGAGAGAGAGATAAAGAGAGAGGGAGAGGGAAAGAATCTTCCATCTGCTGATTCACTCCTCAAACAGCTGCAACAACCAGGGCTGGGCCAGGCCAAACGAAGCCAGGAGACAGGAGGTTCATCTGGGTCTCCCACATAGGTGGTTATGACCCAAACACTTGGGCCACCTTCTGCTGCTTTTCCAGGTCATTAGCAGGGAGCTGGACAAGAAATGGAGGAGCCTGGACACAATATAGAATGCTGGTGTTGCAGGTGGTGGCTTAACCCACTGTGCCACAATGCCCACCCAACCAATGCCTGTTTTAATCTCAATGTGTTTCATATTTCCTAACTGGAACTTTATTGATGAACTATCTCTTCAATTCTAACATTTTTTCATTTCTAGAATTTGTTTTTGTTTAAATACACCATACCACCTTTACAATTTTTTTTCAAGCTTGATTTTTATGATCTTGAATATTTACACATAACTGTTTTCTGATCTATGTCTGCTAACTTCAGCAAAAAGTTTCTACAGGTCTATTTGTATTGCCTATTGTTGCTGCTGCTTCCCACCCAGTATCTTGTTTCTTTATGTATCTGATTACCTCTGACTGTTTGCTGGATACTGAATTTTTTTTTAAGATTGTATTTATTGATTTATTTATTTAAGAGGTAGAGTCACAGAGAGAAGGGGAGAGAGACAACTGTATCCCACATTGGAGTGCCCGGAACTGGGCCAACCTGAAGCCAGGAGCCAGGAGCTTCTTCTGGTCTCACACATGAGTGCAGGAGCCCAAGCGCTTGGGCCATCTGCCACTGCTTTCCCAGGCCATAATCAGAGAGCTGGACTGGAAAAGCAGCATCCAGGACACAAACTGAAGCCCATATGGGATGCTGGTGCCGTAGGTGGAGGCTGAGCCTACATCACAGCACTGGCCCCCTGTACACCTCAATTTAAAATAATTTGTGGAAATTCTTGAGGCTTGTGATGGTGTTATTTCCTCCAAAGAAAATTCAAAGGTGTTGAGACATTAATAATCATGGATCTTTAATCCACATTCAAGGATTAAAATATTTCTAGACCTAACCAGACTCCCCAAAGTTTAGCTATAATCTAGGAAAACTGATTTACACTGTACCCTTATTCCAATAGTCCCCTGGGGCGGGGGGGGGGTGTCCCAGCTCTTGACGCACCTCCTCTCTCATCCAGATCTCTAATTTTAGACCCTAAATCTTCAAGCTGCCAAAAGTTAACCCAGTGCTTTGGCTAAATTCCAGACTGGCAAATGCACCCTAGGAATAAAATAGCCCCAAGTACTGGGTCTGCTTCTCTGGATTCATCTCCCCTCTAGGGTTAGCCCAGTAATTCTCACTATTTGCTTGACCTTGATACTTTTTAGAGGATGTGTTTTATATTTTGACTTTAGTTTTCTTCAGTGAGAAAATGGCCCACCATTCCCAAAGCCGAAGTCCTAATTATCATTTCCTAAGCTCCTCACACTGAAAGGACGGAGCAAAGTCCCACATGGGAGACCAGGAAGAAGCTCCTGGCTCTTGGTCTCAGCCTGCTCCAGCCCCAACCCCAACCAAACTCTGCCTTTCAAATAAACAAAATAAACCTTTAAAATAAAAAGTCTGAGGAAAAAAATATCAATGAAAACAAGTAAAGGTCTCTTCCTCTAATACTAAAATGAAAGAAATATTAAATAGATTCTTAAAACTTTTTGGTATGTAATTTTAAATTTTATTTTATCCAGCAGTCAAATTAAAATCATAGAAATTGCAAACAGCTTCAAGATTCGGTTTCCATTGTGGTGTGCATTTGTGAAACACCGTGATACAAACGTCAATGGTGGTTATAATGGCCCATACTTTCTGAACATAATTTTAGCAGACAGGATCATAATTAAGTTGAAGAAAGCCATCAGTAATATTCAGTTTGTCCTGATTCAGGCTCTTCTATAGCAGCAGGTGGTGACATCTGAAGATGAAAGTTTGAAAATGCATGGAGCAGGAAGACACCAGAAGAACCAAGGTAAAACAGAGGACCAGGAGTTCTGTTGTGATCAAATTTAAATCAAACCTCCTGCCATTGCTATGATTACAGGCTTGATGGAGATAACTTTGTTATGATATCATGATCCCCCCTCAATCTGTCTCACCATATCGCCAAAATCTCAATGGTATTGTTTTTCACTGTTTTATTTTCCACTAAAAGTTCAACAAATTACATGAAAGGGGTAATAACAACCACCCCCAAATTTTTAATGCCATTTTCTGTTTTTCATTTCAATAGGATAGTGTCTCTTTGTCATGTTATGTCCCTGTCACAGAACAATATAACACTTACTAGTTCTCTGGGTGGGGAGGGGGAATCATAAACACCCAATGATAAGATAAAATAAGCCAAAATCCCCTTCATTAGTAGAAGTCTGTAAAATCATCAACCGGTGGGCATAATTTTATTAGAAGTGCGCCTGAAGATGAGATAGTTGGCTTAAGCCACCACAGATACAGCATGTCATAGTGGTTTCCACACGCCTCTCCCCCGGCAGTGTAACTGGCTGGGGACATCACTGGATCTCACAGGAAACAGTGAGAGGGATTCATTTGGCCTTTAGCAATGACTCAGCCCCTTGTATTTAAAAGTCCAGGGGCTTCATGCACACAACTATCCTTCTTCAAATAGAAATGCCTGCTTGCATCTTTGCTACAGTAAAACAAAACCTTTAATGCAAGTTTTTATTTTATGGCATCATCTCTCCTTAGATCATAATAAATATATTTTATTATGCTTTAACAGATTTCACAAGCAATAAAAAGTAGTATCTCTATATCATCTTCCCCATCCAGCAAGCCGGTTTCATTTTGTGTAAACATTTCTCCCCTTATAAATCCAGAAGATAAATAAATTAACTCTCTAACCCTACCTAGCTTCTAGAATCTCAAAGAAAGAAACTATAAATCAGGTTCTACAGAACTTCTTTGGTTTGTACTTTTTTTTAAAGATTTATTTATTTTTATTCAAAAGTCAGAGTTACACAGAGAGAGGAGAGGCAGAGAGAGAGAGAGATAGAGATGTCTTCCATCCGCTGGTTCCCCAATTGGCCACAACAACCGGAGCTGCGCCAATCCGAAGCCAGGAGCCAAGAGCTTCCTCCGGATCTCTCACTAGGGAGCAGGGGCCCAAGGACTTGGGCCATCTTCTGCTGCTTTCCCAGGCCACAGCAGAGAGCTGGATCAGAAGTGGAGCAGCCGGCTCTTGAACTGGCACCCATATGGGATGCTGGTGCTTCAGGCCAGGGCGTTAACCCACTGCACCACAGCGCCAGCCCCTGGTTTGTACTTAAACACATGACACACAATCCCACAAAGAAATGAGTGTGGAATTTTTCTTAACATTCAACTTGAAACACTAGACATAATAAGCTGAATTGCTGGGGGGGGGGGGGTGGGAGGACAAGGAATTATGATCAAATGCTGAAAATGTAAACATGAAAACAAATCTTTTAAAAAATGATTTAATTATGAAAAGTCAGAAAACTGCAGAGTTCCAAACAAATTCTACACGTGGAAACAAAGGCTCATTTACCATCTTCTTTTAAATTTTGTTTTCAAATAATGGTCCATCTATTGAACCTAGTCTTTCCTGGCAAACAGAGAAAAATACAGGGTTTTTATATGTTCAATATTCCGTAAAACACAGCCGGCATTTGTTCCTGAAGTTAGGATGACACCTTTCACTTTGATTCAGAGGAACTTAAAAATTGTTCCAGCATGACTATTTCCATTAGCTACTCCCAAAACCCAGTGCACAAACAACAACAAACACTGCTGTTTTAGTAAGAGTCCTGTCTTCCCTTTTATTTTATGAGCCCAAGAACAAATTCGGAGAAAAGCTTCCTAAGTCCCGCAGTTTCAAATTCTTTTTGTAACTCATCCAACGCTGAATACTCTTTGACTTCAAATGCCAGAAACCTGCATTATACAAGAGAAGCTCATGAATATGCCTAGATTTGTCAGAGTATAATTATCGATTCAGTTGCTTTTCCATCTGCAATAGTACTAAATTATACCTTTTGTGTTCCGTCTGCACTTTTGTTTCAAACAGTACACTAATCATTTTCTCTTTGCATTTCTTTCCACTTGAGTCCACATCTACTTTGGAGGTTTTCTGAAGAATCAGGTACTCCTAAAAGAGAAATCAGAATGTTAAATACGTCGCTTACTCTGTGTCTCAAAGTTCTACTTTGAAAGCAGCCACAAACTTGCAGGCTTATTTTCATGCTTGCAGACTACTCTCTCTTGGAATCAAGCAGTACGAGCTATACAGTGTTTCCACATGTTTGGCAAAATAACCTGCTGGTGAAGACAGGAATCAAGAGTGACGACATGGAACTACTCAAGTTTAAACCTGGACTGGACTGCCCTCTAGATCACACCCTGGGCTGGTTATTAAATCCTCTGTGCCTCAGTTATCTCCTCCATAAAATGGGACTCATGGCACGCTCCACCTCATGAGGAAGCTGAAATGAGGTAATACACAAAAAGCACTTAGAGGCCGGCATTGTGGCACAGCAGGTTAAACTGCCACCTGCAACTCCAGATCCCATGTCAGAGTACCTGTTTGAATCCCAGCTGCTCTGATTCTGATCCAGCTCCCTGCTACTGTGCCAGGGAAAGCAGCAAAAGATGGCCCAAATAATCAGGGCCCTGCCACTCACGTGGGAGACGGATTCCTTTCCTGGCGCCTGGCTTTGGTCTGCTATTTGGGGATTGAACCAGTGGATGGGAGATCTCTTTGTCTCTCTCATTTTCTCTCTCTCTCTCTCTCTTTCTCTCTCTCTCTCTCTTTCAAATAAATAACACAAATCTTAAAAGACAAACAAAAAAAGCACTTAGATGGGTACCTGGCATACAAGTGCTTTGGCACATTTAAGAGCACAAGCCACCACTGTTATTACTACTAATGCAGCATGGGAATAAACGTATCAGTCACACAGCACTTACCATTCCAAATTGATGACATCCATAAATATGTTCCTATACATTCTCAATCCCAGTATACAAATCTCAAAATTTGGGGCAGGTGTTTAGCACAGCAGTTGAGATGCCGCTTGGGATACCTGCATCCTATACTAGAGAGAGGCATTGAGTGCTGGCTCCTCTGCTTCCAACCCAGCTTCCTGCTAGTGCATACCGTGGGTAGCAGCAGGTGACGGTTCAAGTGCTGAGTCCCTGACACACATATAGGAGACCCAGACTGAGTTCCAGGCCTGGCTTTGGCCTGGTCCTGCATTAGCTGCTGTGGGCATTTAAAAGTGAACCAGTAGATGGAAGATGTCTGTCTTTCAAATGTAATGAAAACTTAAAATATAAAATAATGGGGGTGGGGAAGGAGAGATGTTGTGATACAGTGGGATAAGCCTCCACTTGGGACATGTGCATTTGATATCAGTCTACCAAGGATCAAATCCTTGCCTCCACTTCTGATCCAGCTGCTTGCCAATGTATACCCTGGGAGGCAGCAAATGATGGCTCGAGTACTTAGGTCCCAACCACCGATGTGGGAGATGTGGGTGGTGTTCCTGGATCCTGGTTTCAGCCTAGCCCACCTCTGGTTGCTGCAGGCATGGGGGAATGAACCAGAAGATGGATGTTCTCTCTCTCTCTCTTTCTCTCTCTCTCTCCCTTTAAAATAAATAAACTTTAAGAAATTTTTGAAAATAACAAAATTCAACAGAGAAATTTATGTAAAGTTTTAGAAACAACGCATACAAAAGAACTCTTTAAAAAGTTCATTAGCAGAGTTCTATTCATATGACTACATACTTCTCAACTGATGATTCAATCTGAGTGACAACATCCACAAACAGCTGCATTTACCCAGACAGTTATAGATACACTGTAACTCACCATAGAACAGTACCTGACCCAGAATACATACCGCATGTGAATTATTGTTATATCTCTTTCCCATAATCCAGCATGAATCTGGTTAACCAAATGCCAAAGTCGTTTTGTGATGAGAGCCCGTCATGAAAGAACTAGGTCGTTATTCTACAAGTCTGAAGATTATAGGCTGTTCATGCTAAATCTGTTAGAAAGGAGTTCAGTTATAATTATTCCTGACCCAATCTATCTAAAAGTAAAAAAAAGAACTATTCTGTGATTTGCAGCTCCTTTAATATTTAAAATATAATAAGCAGTTTTCCTCATCTGGTCCCACATAAAACAGGTTGGAAAATTCTGAAGATGACGATTTTGAAAGCAGCCGCTGAGACAAGTCAGGTGGAAAGCAAAAGTTAGTAGGAGGTGACAAGCTGACAGCCCTAATGACTCTACTTTTACTAACACTAAATCTTGGTTACAAGGGACAAGCACCTCTTCCTGTGTAGTATAGATCCAAATTAACGTGTCAGGATGGATTTTTAACTGCCATGGAGTCACATGTTTTGCAGGCTACTGGCTATGGAAGGAAATATTAATATGCACATACATTCCTGTCCATTTAGAAAGTTGAGGCTCACGACTGACTATGGAAATAAACAGACAAGCCACAGAGAGTCTCTTAGAACCTGTCACTGCCCTGAAGTGGCATGATTTTTCACAATCTACTCTTACACTCCTTCTTCAAGCTTTGCAAGTTTGTAGCTGTAATCACGAGTTAGACATTCTTTAAAGAAGAACTGAAGATTCATTAACATAGTAATAGTGAAAGCAGAAACATCCTAATGATTATCCTATTGTTATAAAGCACACTTAGAGGCACACCATTTTAAACAGAAAACAGCCAGATTCCCATTCAACACTGAACTTGTTGGCACCTTGATGTTGTTTCTGTCGCCTTGGAGTAAAATCAGTATGATTTTACCCAGGAACATCAGTCTTCCCGTCAGCCTCAAGTCTGAAGCCCACGTCTCCACGGTTTTGATGTATTTGGCCCTTGCTCTCATGTGATCTAAATGCAGAAGAGTCATCCACAGGCCGTCGTCCGCAGCCGTGCTTGTTGGCAAAGCGCGCTGGGGGCTGCCCGCCTTCGTCTCCAGGCCGGCCAGGATGCGCCCCAGATGCTGCTGGATCCAGAGAAGCAGCTCGTGCACCATGGGCTCCGACACGAGCTGCGCCGCTCGCTCCAGTAACTTCCCTCTCACAGCCTCGCACTGGGTCCTGGTCAGGTGCTCGGAGTGAACGGAGATCCCAGGGAGACACAGAGGGTAGCTAGCCGGTAAATGGAACACGAGCTCCAAGGGCACGTGCACACCCTTCAGTCCTTCGGCTTCAGTGCGGACTCTGACCACGGCCCCATCTGTCTCTGGAAGGCACCCAAAAGTCATCATTAGCTGTGCACAAGTCAATGGGAAGAGGCACTAGCAAGTTCAATGTTTTTTCCCCCCATAGGAAAAAAAAAATTCAGCTAAAATTCAGCTTTTACCAAAAAAAATATAAAGAGCAAAAACAAAAGCCACTAACAAAGCTGTGCAGATGATCTCCTTCAACCGTACACACATCTCCACACATTTACACACATCGGCACCTGGGACATAACTGGTAGTTACACCTGCTATAGCTCACTACTTATGAAGCTACCAGGGAGGATTTTTTTTTTTTTTTTTTTTTGGACAGGTAGAGTGGACAGTGAGAGAGAGATAGAGAGAAAGGTTTTCCTTTGCCGTTGGTTCACCCTCCAATGGCCGACACGGCCAGCGCACCACGCCGATCCGAAGGCAGGAGCCAGGTGCTTCTCCTGGTCTCCCATGGGGTGCAGGGTCCAACCACCTGGGCCATCGTCCACTGCACTCCCTGGCCACAGCAGAGAGCTGGCCTGGAAGAGGGGCAACCGGGACAGAATCCGGCGCCCCGACCAGGACTAGAACCTGGTGTGCCGGCGCCGCAAGGCGGAGGATTAGCCTAGTGAGCCACGGCGCTGGCCCAGGAAGGATTTTCATCAGATGATTCTTTTGTGGCCAGATTTAGTTGACAATTCTAGAAACTAACGCTTACAAACTTCCAAAGGACCACCGGGCATAAGGCTATCAACTGTGTTCTTAGTTAAAAGTTGGGCATGACCTCTGAAGGTCACGTTGTGGCAAGTTCAAGTCAAAACAAACACTGACCCTGCACAGAGAAATAATGGTGTGAGACCTACCCAGCCCCTCTCTTTTCTCAGTTACAATGCGTGATTATCAGTATAGGCTGAAGGCAGCCAACGTGAGTGGACATCATCTGGCTCCCTAAAAAGAACGGGGCAGCACACACAGGAGAGGAGGCAAACTCCTCTGCTCTCTCTCAGACCCGCTCGGCTTCACCCCTCTGATGTGTTCCACACCACTTCACCCTGCTCCTCCAAAAGCTGAAAGAATGTCAGGCTGATTGATTCAGCAGGGGCAGAGACGCCCGGATCAGAAGCACTGAGCAGCCCAGAGCTGGATGCAATCAAACCTCTTGGAGACGAACTTGCCTCTGTGCCCCTGCTTCTCCTTCCCTGTGCCCTTGTCTTATTCTTCCCAGGAGAAGCGGTCAAATCCTTCTGTTTCACACTTGGGTTGCTGCTCAGTAGCCTCAACACCTGCAACCTGAAGGTACCCCGGTTTTAAGGAGCCTAACGGGACATTAACCCTGATGTCCAGCGCTCTGATTCCACGTGTAAAAAAGCTGTTGTCACATTGATTCACGCAGGACCAAGCACATCTGTCACATGGTTTTTCCTTAATAGACTCCTCAGTACCAGCTGCAAGGAACTACTATTTTAGGACACCACTCAGAAACACAGGCAGTCACCATGATGAAGACCGTTTGAAAACGGTATCATTTAAATCTGTATTGCATAACTAAAATGCAGAAAGAAAAATGTGCCAAACCTAATTTGGTGCATTCTTCTAAAATTGATCCCATTTCTCAAAACCTATCTTTCCTCCATCCAGTTACGTCCCTTATTTTTTTTTTTACTTTTTTTTAAGGTTTTATTTATTTATTTGAAAGGCAGAGTTAGAAAGAGAGAGTCAGAGAGACAGATCTTCCATCTGCTTGTTCAGTCCCCAAATGGCCACAATGGCTGGAGTTGGCTGGTCCAAAGCTAGGAGCTAGGGGCTTCTTACAGGTCTCCCACATGGGTGCAAGGGCCCAAAGACTTGGGCCATCTTCCACTGCTTTCCTAGGCACATTAGCAGGGAGCTGGGTTGGAAGTGGAGCAGCCAGGACTCCAACGGGTGCCCATATGGAATGCCAGCACAGCAAGCAGCTGCTTAACCCACTGCACGACAGCACCGGCCCCTTACTTCCCCTTTTCAAAAAAAAATATTTTATTGTTAAATTAGGCTCCCTAAATGTCAATTGGATCAACCTGCCTCACTGCATGAAATGAGTGTTGAAAATAGATCTGCAGATAATATGGGATCATGGTGCCAAAATTTCCAGTAATCACTCTACGAGTCCAGACTCTCTCATGGATGAGGGCCAACTTTTAAAGATCTTCATTCATTCATCAGTCAACAAACATGGTCTGACTACCTCCTATGCCCAAGCCACTACCCCAGTCTCTGAGGAAAAAGACATATCCTGAGTGATTTCCTCGACTTTCCACACCTAAAAACTCCCCATATGTGTCTGTGTTCAGAGATCATTCTCCAAAGGTCTGGCATTTCTGACCATCCTCTGCGCAAAGGGCACGGATAGCTTTGTGCAAGCGTGTTTGCAGTGCAGCTTTGGAAGCTAGAGCTACCTCCAGGTCAGAGGGCAGGTGTGTCTCCTGACCAGTTTTATAAATGCAACACGCTCCTTCAGGTCAAAGGTTGAGCAGAATGGCCAGCGTCCCCTTACAGGATTACAGGGCTCCTAAGCACGGGCGCTATTCAGCTGTGACAAAGAGCCACTGTGAGCACAAAGAGCCATTGTGGGCCCACTTCCACCTCCCCACGGGACCTGGACGACAAGGAGGATCACTGGGAGCATAAGGCTCACGCTGACTGCTGCACATGGAGCAGTAGTCTGTCTGAGCGCCCCGGGACTCCCTGTCTCCTGACTCGCTGAATCCATGAAAGTCCACCAGTGACCTGGCAGCTGCAGTCACCCCGGCTGCTTAGGCACTGCCCAACCAGCTGTCAATACATACATGCTGTCACCACCGCGCTCTTGCCTTCTCTTCTGGATCAGAAAGAAGTGCCTTCTGCCTTCCATAGGAAACCCTACCATCTCTAGGGCACAGTTCCAACCACTGTCTGTTCCCTCCTGCTTGCATTTTTTTATCTCTCCCGCTAATGTTTCCTCTTCTTCTGCTTACCAAGTATTTTCCTCTTTGCTTCCAAAAAAAGAAAAAATCTCATGCTATGAATTCCTTCAGTCTATAGATCTCTTTCTCTGTCCCTGAATTCTCAATCTTCTTTTTTTGTAAAAATGTCTACATTTATTTTTATTTATTTGAAAGGCAGAGGAGAGAGAGGGAGACAGGGAGAGAGGTAGGGAAGGTATTTTCCATCTCCTAGGTTCACTCCTCAATGCCCAGAACAGCCAGGGCTGAGCCAGACTGAAACCAGGAGCCACAAGCTCTGTTCAGGTCTCCTAAGTGGACGGCATCAACCCAAGTACTTGAGTCATCATCTGCCACTTCCCAGGGTACACATTAACACATTGTTTTTCACACAAAGGTCAGGTCATTTATTTTCCCTGTAGGCCTGGGCTCAGTACATGGATGGCTTCTCTTCACCCTTTGGGTTGACAGTTTTCTCCAGGTTGCTGCTAATAATATGATAAGTTCACCATAGAAGGCCCTCAGGTCCAGCATCACGGCCCTTAGTGCCCCATAGGTCACCTTGTCTCACTCATGTACCAAGGCCCAGTAATCCACTACATGGGTCTCCTTGGAGGCCTTGGCCAGAGCATCCCCACGTCCTAAGAAGTTCTTGGAGATGGTTGTCTGGAAGGTTTCCACTTTGGTCTTCGCCACATTCATCCTCTCTAGCACCTCCAGGAGGATCACTACCCCAAAATCATCTCCATCCTCGATCTTGGGGGTCAGGTGCTGGACCCATGTGTTCACCAGAATGCATTTCTCTTTGAGAGTCCAGACTTTTGGCTTAACCAAAGCAAGCAGAGCCAAGAGCTTCCCATTCCCAGGAATAAAGCCGCACTCAGGGTGTTCCTTCCTCTCTTGGTTATCTGTTTCCATCTCCTCATCCTTGGTGGGGTGTCTGGGATGGGGACGTGCAGTGAGGCCCGGAGGGAGGTCAGGTCAGCCACCCACATGGAGGGAGTCCTCTTACAAGAGTTGCTTCTGTTACATGATTTTCTGTGGCAGGAAACTGTGGAGGAATTCCTCAGCCTCTTGGCAAAGATTCTGCCGGAACACATCCACCTGTTTGCAGGCCTCCCCACTCAGGCCCACCCCACATGCCTGGCCATGCTGTTGCAGGCGTAGATCTCTGGGTGTGAGGCAGAGGCAGGACTTGAGCCCCGTCACTCCAACACGGGATGTGGGCATCCCAAGCAGCAGCTTAACTCTGCATCACGATGCCTGCTCCTCGGTCTTCTTAAAATATAATTCTTATCACCTGCCTACATTTCCCTGTAAACCAAAAATCTCCATAACTACTTCCACTGTGGCCTCTAATATCTCTTTTCTCTGAAGCTCCTCTCTTCAATGTTACCAGTGATCTCTTCATTGCCCCTGTGCAGGACTGAAATGATTCCGCAGGCCTGGGTTGTTCAAACCCTGCACATTCCCAGGAGAGGCCCCATTTCAAGGCTGGACCTCGGCTGGCTCCCGAAAGCTGAGCTCAAAGTCCTTGTAATAGTCTGCCTGACAAGAGTGTTTTTTGTATGCCTGGGGTCTTGAGCCACATTATGCCAGCCTAATTAAATGGGTGGTACTAACTGTGATTTATGGTCAGCAGGGGCTGGATGGAGACTGAGTGGCTCAAGGCAGCCATGCAGGCCCCACACTCCTGTGTGACGGAGCCCCAGTAAAAACTTAACACCAAGGCTCATGCAAGCTTTCCTGGTTGGCAACACTGCTCACACTCTGTCCCTCGCACACTATCGCTAAGAGGAGTAAGCAGGTCTGCAGGACTTCACTTGGAGGCTGGCTACCAGTTTCTCCTGGACTTTGTTCCAAGCACATTTTCTCTGCAGATTTTAACCTGTATGCTTTCGCTGCAATAAACCACGGCCATGAGTGGAGCAGCTTTTCTGAGCTCTGCCAGTCCTTCTAGCAAATCCCTGCCTAGGAGGGCAGCTCGGGAACACCCGAGACAGCTACACTCAGGGATTCTAACCCAGCCCGACCCTTCCTCAGCACCTACATTGCACCAGCTGAACCTC